TTATGTTGCAGCTTACTAATAAATGCAATCTTTTTTGAAAGGTATTTGGCCTGTACCACAACAGATGTCTGCTGGTTTTACAGCTGCCAAAAGGACAAGCAGAGTGCTGCTTATAGGTGCCTGAGCAGAAGGTTGTGACTGATGCCCTGATGCGCAAGTTCAGGGGAGTGGTGGGCACTTCAGGCTCTTTGCTAACCGCAGCAGTTGGCTCCCTGTACTTCTGGTGGGAGAAGCTGTCCTGAGGGCCAAATGGCTCAGTGGCTGGAATAATTTGTGCTAGTGTAGATGTCTAGAGCCAATTTAAGTGTACTGGAGTATCCAACCTACCCTCAGGTGGCTAGCAATTCTGACACAGAGACTATGAGAGACCTGCTCCCAGGGTAAAATTCCCTTGGCATCTCAGCTTGGCACTTATATTTGGGCAAATTAACTAAACCCAGAGTATCTAACATGGGCTTAAGGTCTTTTGGACTTGCAGCTAGAAGAGGAGCTGAATCTGTGGACCTCATTTTAATGGGTCAGAGCTCTGGAGCTTCCTGTACTAGAAAACTTAAACTGGGGATCTGGGCCTTACAAAGTGTGAGGAGCCCTCCCAGAGAAGCTGTGTAAGGGTAAGGCACTAACACATTCACACACACACACTTGCACCAAGTTTTGCCAGCTCATTATGTATTCCAGCAGGGGATTTTTTTTAAAACAGTGTAGATTGACTGATAAAAAAGAGCCTTTTTCTTGTGAGAGCTTGCTGAATTTGGGAAACTGCTTTCGATGCTATTGGCAAACACTTTACAGTGTAAACAGGGCCTACATCAGGCAGATAAATAAGTGCAGATGTGCTTTTCTGTAGGAACCATTTGGTGATAGACAATATAATGGAAAAAAAAATTCTCATCAAATTAATTGTGGCCAATTAGACATAACCCCTTCCCCTCATATCTGAATCCCCTCCAATTGAGGCTGCATGAATGGGAAGAGCTCCTGTCACCTGTTTCATTATGCAGATTGATATTCGAACATCTGAGAACAATGCTGCTTTCTGCACGGCATGGCTCCAAATTGCTAATGAAACAGCTCTGCCAGACAAGTCACTTAAACTCGCTCTCACTGCTGCTGTCAACAGCTCTCATGGTGAGATGTGGAGGGGATTGGGAAAGGATCTCTCCCCCCTGAATGTGCTAACAGCCCCCAGCCTGTGTGTTTATCGCTCTCCAGAGCAGGAAGATTTCTGCTCTCTGACTGAGAGGTTACTTTTCCAAAGCCAGAGTCTGCTTTGCACTTAATGCTCCTTGATTTCAGTTTGTGGAGTGAAGGGTTGAAGAGGCCGGCAGCTGCTGGGCTCTGAACACAGACATCTCATGTCCTGGAGCTACCCCAGTCCTTCAGACATGCTTGGTATCTGCTTTCCACCCCCATCTCCAGCATCCGCCTCGCCCACAGTAGCTGTGAAGCAAGTGAGGTTTCTTTCATGGGTGAGAGTGTGTCACATCACCTTGGGTACAAGTGGAGCATCTCACAAATGGTGTCCCATGGTAAATGAGTGGGAGGATGCAAATGGGGTACATCTCTGCCTGGGACTCTTTGGGTGCAGGACTGGCTGAGCCCTGCGGGTTCCCTCACAGGCAGTTATCCCTTGAGGTAGGTAAAGCTGGGCAGCAGGACTCCTGCTGCATGCGAGTGTGAGATGGGGCTCCTACAAGTGTGGACCCTGTACAGCTGGGTTTGGTCAGCAACTGGTGCATCTTCCCTTCCCTTGTTATCATCACAGGATTCCTCTTTGCAGATGGGGTAGAGTAGTTTTGACTTAGGACTCTGACAGGAGAAATACTTACATGAAATAATGGGACAGTTCTCCCACTAATCTACATTCTGACCCTTTCTGTCAATATCCATGGTTAATTCCTTTGTCAATATTTACTGTAGCATTGAGATTATCTCTGCACAGGCTTCCTTCATGTACTGGCCCCTGTGTCTCAGCTCCTGCCTCGTGTTGCAGACTCCTTGTAGACCGGTTTGCTTTCCTGGGGCTGATACTTATGACCCAGGCCCACTGTCCGAGTCCTTGGAAGAAACCAAACAGGTGGCATTCCTTACTGAATACTTTGCCAATGTGTCAATAAACTTTATTCCTTATAGATCTTCTCCAGTTCCTCCACACATTCCTCCACTGTGATGCCACACACTCCTTCCCCATCTGTTCCATGAATTTTCTTGAAGGGTTTGCATGCCCCTTTAGTATGAGCAGTGTGGGGCAGCAGATAGTTCAGAAAGATGCAACAGTTTTTGAGTCTGGAGAGTTCTTTGGAGATTTCTCCATCCCTGGACTGAGCTGTGCCCACCTACTGCCAAGCAACAAACATGGTGATTTTCCTACCAGAAAGACTCATGCATGTACCATACTATTACTTTTCAAAGTATCTGCTTATCTCTGGCTCCATGGACTGTGGAGTCAACTGGACATCAATTGCTTTCAGCTTTGTAAACACCAAATCAGGTTAGCTGGGTATCTGTGTTCCTCTTAGGCATTCAAGCTAAAATTCTCTGGTGTGGGCCCATATGGATCCTTTCATAGTTTCCTGTCTTGCTGTCCACCAGGCCATGGTTGAAGTGTGTGTGCATGTTGGTGTGCAGAGAATGATTTGCATTTAATGATCTATTCTGACTGAGGAATGAGCAGAGGGTAAGGATTGATGAGTCAATGAATAGTATGTGGATTTGTAGAAGCCATCAACCTGACTTCCTTCTCTAGAAATGTGCTTTTCCAGTTGCCAGAAACAGTAATTTCCTTCAAGAGAAATGTTTTCATTTATTTATTGATTACCCAGAAGGTTAAAAATTGAAAGTGGAGCCTTTCACTTCTGGCTGCTATAATGGGCCCTTAACCAGAGGGGTCAAAGGATAGTTCAAGAGTGGGATTGTTTCCCTTATCACAGCCCTGCCTGGCTATAATCCTTCTTACTCCAGTAGATACCATGATGGAAGCAGACAAAAGTAGAGATACTTTCACTGGGAATCGAAGGTAGAAGTATAAAATGGACACTGGATGAGGCCTCTTTAACAGTTTCTGGGCTCAGACAGAGGCTCTCATAGCTGCTGCTGTTTCAAAGGACATGCCAAAGCTCAGTCCCACCAACGTTGGTCAGGCCTGCCTGATGCCTGACTGTAAAGTCCTGTTGACTTTACTCTGTGGAGGGCTCTATGGGAATGGGAATGTCCTGTTTGCCTTCAAGGCTGGGTTCTGCAGCCTCTGGGAAAGCAAGTTGCCCACTCTACAAACACCTGGTTTAGCATGTCAAGGGAGAGAGTGTGTTTCTTTGCATCTGGTATGGGCAGTGCCCTCCTTGTGATGGGTCCCCTAGGCTGCTGCTTTAATCAGCTTGGTAGAAAAAAATAATTTTAGCAAGCTGGAGTGATTTTTCTCCCATCAAAGTTTGCTTTCATTACAGTCTTTGATAGCTGTGAGTTTGTCTTCATCTCTAGAGGGTGTGACAGGGTTCTAAGAGCCACTTTAGTGTCTGTTTTATTATATGTGAAACCTCTGTTTTTTTGGTGATGTACCAACCTGAGTTCCAAATAACAGCCCTGATGTTTTCTGTTGGCTTAAAGCAATACGACACGTGTTCTCTCTCACACACTTGTGTGCACTTACAAGTTAGTTCATCTTGCCATCCAAACTGGAGGGATAATTCCTTGCACAGCCAGATGAGTTGACAGGTACAAGGAAACAGAAGAACAGTGTATTCACCTATTCACAGACACAGCTCCTGGTTGTCCTCATGGCTGAGGTGCTGTGAATGAGATACACTGCTTTAGGGGCTTTGGCCTCCTTAGTTGAGTTGACCAGGTTCCCAAATGGCTTTAAGCAGTACTCAAGAACAAGGCTCATCTGTATGTGTTTTAAGCTATAGTTGTAGACTGCAGCTGTATTTCCAGTGTAGAAGGTGGCAGTACATGATGGCATATATTCATGTACCAGGTGAACTCTGGCTGTTAAGTGGGTTTAGTCTGACTGTTAGCATGTTGTTAGCATGCTTCTCAGGATCATACAAATATACAATCACAGCTGGGAGTTGAGAAATAACACCAGGCAAGCTAGTGCTTGATATATCCAGAGAGGAGGAGGCTTTCTTCCATCTAACCTACTTTTTCATTTCTTTCTTGTACTACTTATTCAGTTCCTGGTTTATAGTTCTGTGCTCCTTCCTGTCTGCTGGTTCTAGGGGTTTTAAGCAGACTTGATAATTGACAGTCTAAATTTTACTGCTCATAAAATCCCAGAGAGCATTGATTATGACTTAAGTTAAGCTAGTGGCATATAAAATCTCACAGCCTTGCAGCCATGGGGGAATGTTATGATAAATGTATTTCTTGTGAGCAGCAAAAGCTTTGGAGTATTCTGCCAGTAATGTTCTGGGCATCAAATGTTAATAGTAACTTGCATCCACTAATAGCATTTCATTTGGAACATTTGCCCAAAACTTTGAAAACTGATCATTCATTTGGTGGAGTGGGTGGGAGGTGTGCTGAGAGGCATCTTTCCTCTTTAATTATTTTTCTACTTCAGTCAGAACCAGGAAGTGCAAAGGCATCCACAGAGCTGAAAAAGATACTTCTTAGGAACTAAATTACAGTTTGTGGATAAAAAGCACATAGATTTTATTGAAAATCTTTCCTTGACTGTGCTCCAAAGGCACTGCTACATTTTCCCTTTCCTTTTTCCTTTTATCTAAGCTCCTGTTTAATCTTTGATCACTGGCTATTTCATGCACTTGATCCAGAGTGGGCAAAAAGAACAGCTTGCTCAGATTTACTTCTTGGTTCTTAGGCATTAACAGAAGATGTTTGTGTTTGAAAACAGTGAAATATAATAACTTCTCAACAATGTTTTCTACCTGATAGTAAAATAAAATCAGAACTACATTCCAGGGAGAGTATGGTCTCCCAACCAGGTGACTGTTTCAATCTGAAAGATTGTGAGAAATGTTCTTTTTCTGTCTCTTCAGTTTCAGAAACCAAATGACTTCTCACCTCCTTTCCGCTTCGGGACGGTTCCTAATGGCAGCACAGAGAGGAACATTCGCAACAACTACCCCGAAATGCACAGCTACATGGTGAAGTTCAATCAGAGGGGAGTGGATGATGCACTGTTCTCACTGAAGACTGGGTGAGGCTTTCTTCTTGCATTTTTACTCTGACAGGAACCTGACTCTTTTGCATGCTTGTCTGGAATTTTTTTTTTTTGGTGAGGTTTGAAAAATGAGCCCGTGTTATCTTTCCATGGTTAAAAGCATAGGAAGACCATACATAGCACAGGAGAGTAACTCTGTTGTTCTTTTTGCCATTTTTTTCTATTGACATCTGTTTAAGAGTTTCTGGTTTTGCTGTGTTTGTAAGACTATAAAAGAAAAAAAATAGGATCTACTGTATCCTTGCACATTAACCATGTGTGTATTAGTCCCAAAGACCTTGCTTCATCAAGATGTTTCATGCTGATGGGGTTTTATGCATACACAGGAAAAGCTCACAGATCTCTGTGGACAAAGTTTTTTTCAGAGCATTTATATTGTCATCTGGAAATTCCTTTGTTTTCCCTCCTTCTGTGTATAAAAGATTATGCTAATCAGAAAACTGAAACAATCTTTGTCAGACTAATCCCACCCCAGTGTATCACCAGCTAATACAGTATAATGGAAGGTGCGTTTGAAGCAAAGAGTTTGGAAGTAGCCTACTCTGGAATATTTTAGTAGCAAGGACTAAACAAAATGTTATTTGAATAATAAGGAAGTATAAAAAAATGTAAACATTTCCTTAGGTAATTTGGGAAACATGAGAAAAATCATTAGCAAAAAGCATGCTGGAATAGCTCATCCTATTTTAATAGCAATGAATCTGCAAAGGAACTAACTCAAAATGACATTTTGCAAGCCTTTGTCATTTGTAGGTTAAAGACCTCCTCCCAGAGCTGACCATTTTGGTTCTCAGAGCCCAGCCCCCGTGAGAAAAACATTTTTGCTTACACTCATGTTGCAGTCTTATGAGAAAGTTCATTCCAAAGCACAATGAAAATGTTCAGCCAATTTAATTACTAGATTGACTGAATATTGCTAAATGTGTTTGCCAGGTTCAGAGGCATGCAGCCCATTAGAAATGGTTGTACCATCACTGGATGTCATCCTAGGAAGGTACATTTGCCAGGATAGTCATCATCCAGGAAATAAATATGCTCTGTCCTGGAAATATATGGATGAAATAGAGCTCATCACTTGTGGTAGATGTCATCCTGGCTTCATATCCACCCTTGGACAGACTTCCTCACAGATAAGCACTTGAACTGAGATAATCACTATACTGGAAATATATGTGCAGGAGGTGGATTGTAAAGATAGTATGCATTTGAGAATGTGCAAGCGGAAGGTCCTTGGTCTTTTATCAGAATGTGTTTCATTTCAGATCTAGTGGGAGGATTTACTCATCAGCTGTCTTTGGATATGTGGAAGATGCAGCACTCTGAGACTGCCCCCCACATCCAAATCAATTTGTTGTGAATTTCTCTCTGTGAGAGAAAGCTCTCATCAGTCTGTTGTGCTGTCTACCCAGCACAGTCCATAACGGGAATTTCTCTGCACTGAAACAGAATTTTTGTTGTGGTTTTCAGCTAAGCATTTTTAACAAAGAGCTACTCAGCATGGTAAACCATGAAGCTGCTATCGTGGCCACTTGACATTGGTAAAGATCCAGTAGTGCTTTTCACAGTAACCAAGGGGTTAAACATAATGTCCTGACTGTATTTGATTTGAAAAACAACATTTTGCTCAGCTAAGGCCTGCCAGCAATTTGAATTGGAGATAATATTTTCCTTATTTCAACCCCTACTTTGCTATGTAATATTGATACATTTTATAAGGCATTTTAGATTCTTTTGAGATTAAAGGCAGTACAGAAATACAAGCTATTCATAGGAATATAGATCTCCTTGACTTCCTCTTCATTCATCTTTATCTTGCAGTATATTTTCATTCCAAATTTTCCTTCAGATCAGAAATTATGATTATTAAAAAGTCAGAAAGAAATAGACAATCCTCATTTATAATCCAGCTTCCACCTGTAAACAGGTTCTGGGCTCAGATTTTAGTTAATTCTGGTGAAGTTGAAGATGACAGACCTGAAGGACTGGATGTAATCCAGAGGGACCTGGACAAGTGTCATGGTTTGAGATAGCCCCAAAATCCAATCCCCTAGCTCCATTCCCCCTCCCACATCTCAACCTAATGTGAGATGGGTTTTTCCAGACAAAACACACACTAGACTCAAAGTGGGGGAAAGGGAATATATTACAATGACTATACAAATAAATACCACATCACATTATACACACGATCACAACTATCTCTACCACGACATATAGTATTTACAGTGGACCAGATCTCTTCTCCCCTCCAAATAAAAGTCCAGGAGGGAAAGAAGGACAGATCCCTTCCAGTCTCTGAACAGCAGCATCTTCTGAGGCAGCAGTCTGTCTGTCTTCTTCACATGCAGCAGCTGATAGCTGGCTTTCTGCCAGCATTCACGAGGGAGGTATCCAACCTCTCTCGGCCCCATTGCCTCCAACCGAGGGGTCTTCCGTGGGCTTCGTAACCCCAGACAAGGTCGTATCACCACGTCATATCACGAAGACACAGGGGGGTCTTCGTGACGGTCTGGTATCTCCAGGAGACTCAGCTCCTTCTTGCAGGGCCTCTGTGCCCTGTCTCTCAGGCTGCCACCGTGGCAGCAGTGCAAGGGGGGGGAGCCAAGGTCAACTCCCCCCGCATTCCATCTGGCCGTCCCGGTCCAGCTCCGGGACGTCTTTTGAGCTTCTCAGCTCCTCTCTCTCTCCAGTGCTGCATGTCTAAAACTCTTCTCCTTAATAGGAGTCCATCTCCCTCTTTTCTCAGAGGGATCTCAAAGGAGTTTTGGGGGGCTGGTACAGTCTTACCCCCAGAACTCTGTCTCTCAGGCTGCTGGCTCTCTTTTTCCCGGCTCTCCTTCCAGGAGTCCTTTCTCTGGTGCTGCATGTTGCTTCTGCTGCTCCTTCAGTTCAGGTGTTATCTATCCTGGCTCTCTGCCACCGTTTCTCTGGTCAGTGCCGGCTGCTGCTCTGCGCCCATGGAGAAAACATCTCCCGGCATAACTACAGGCACCTAGCCCAGCTTTATGCTGTTCCAGGTCCCCGCAGCCCCCAGCCAGGGGCTGGGAGGCCCCAGAGGGCCCAAGGGGCTCAGAGCCCCTTCCTCGTGGCTCTACAACATGGCCACCTCTCCAACAACCCAAACTACAACTCATCTCTTCCGGTGAGCTTGTGATATGTTTACATTTCTGCAGGAGCGCCCATTGGGCAGAACTTCAAAACTTCCAGGGGTTTCCACCCCTTGGGGTCTACCACTTAATTTAGCCTCTGGGGGAAAACAAGATTCAAACCACGACAACAAGCTTGAGAAATGGGCCCACAGGAATCTCATGATGTTCAACAAGACCAAATGCAAGTTGCTGCACCAAGGTTGGGGCAACCCCCAATCTCCAGGCTGGAGGATGAACAGATTGAGAGCAACCCTGCAGAGAAGTACTTAGGGATGCTGGTAGATGAGAGAGTGGACATGACCCAGCAATGTGAGCTCACAGCCCAGAAAGCCAAGTGTATCCTGGGCTGCACCAAAAGCAGCCTGGGCAGCAGGTCAGGGGAGGGGGTTCTGTCCTCTCTACTCTCGAGAGACCCCACCTGCAGTGCTGCATCCAGCTCTGGGGTCTGCATCACAGCCAGGAGACATCAACCTTTTGGAGCAAGTCCAGCAGGGCCACCAAGATGATTAGAGGGGTGGAGCACCTCTGCTATGAGGAAAGGCTGAGAGAATTGGGATTGTTCAGCCTGGAAAAGAGAAGTCTTTGGGGTAACCTAATTCTGACCTTCCAGTACCTGAAGGAAGCCTACAAGAAAGGTGGAGAGAGACTTTTTACAAGAATGTGTAGTGACGCGACAAAGGGGAAGGGTTTCAAAGTGAAAGAGAGTAGGTTTAAATTAGGTATTAGGAAAAAATTCTTTCATGTGACAGTGGTGAGTCTTTTTACTGTAAGGTGGTGAAGTTGTGGATGCCCCATCCCTGTAAGTGTTCGAGACCGAGTTGGATGGAGCAACCTGGTCTAGTGAGAGGTGTCTCTGCCCACATCATGGGGTTTGGAACTAGATGATCTTTAAGGTTCCTTCCAACCCAAACCTTTCAATGATTCTATGTAACCTATTGTAATCCATCTGAAAGAGGTTAATTTCAACCTTAATTACCTGAGAACACCTTTGAATTCATACAGATTCTATGTTTTCTGGTTTTTTCTCTTGTTTCTTGCATCTGTGCAGGAAGTTGGATGCTTTCATTTATGATGCAGCAGTGTTAAACTACATGGCTGGCAGAGATGAAGGCTGCAAACTGGTGACAATTGGAAGTGGGAAAGTGTTTGCCTCCACTGGCTATGGCATTGCCATCCAAAAGGACTCAGGCTGGAAGCGGCAAGTTGATCTTGCCATTCTACAGCTTTTTGGAGATGGTAAGTGACAAGAAAAAGAAGAGTTCTAATTTTCCTAAGAAATACCAAATTTTGCATGTAAGAAATGGAAGTTTCTAGCTCTGGTGCTTCAGATTTGAGTTGAAACCATGAAATTATTAGAAAGGTTTGTTTAGAGGCATCGCACCAAAAATGCGAGGATATCACTTCTTTTATGTTGATGCAGGGTAGCGGTATCATCAAAAGCAATGTCAAAAGCACTAAAGTTTTCATAGAACAAGCTCAGATGTATGTTTGAAAAAATACCTTATGTGAAGAATGTCTTGTGAAAACAAGATTTCTGTTGTGAACTTTTTACTACCTTTGTGGTTTTGTCATGACCAAACCCACTAACCATACTGTCTATGGTTATTTCATATTTTGTAGTTCTAGACAGGATCAATCCATGCAGTTTACAGAATTAAAGGATAAATATTTCTGAATCAAAGAGCTCAGAATTTCCAAAACCTCAAAAAATAACAAAAGCAAGGAAGAACTTGAGACTCAAGAGCATATTTTGGAGTGAGTTTTAAATTGGAACATTATAGTTACCTAGTCCATCTCTTAATTTACTTTTTTGAATGAATAAAATTCACATGTTATTTTATTTATAAGTATTCCTTTTTTTCTGAACTCTGAAAATTACGTACGGTATTATAAATATGGAAAGAACGTAACTTGGATATACTTCAGCAAATTGGCTACTTGGCAGATAGGGTGTTCTGTTTCCTAAACAGCCTAATATGCATTATTTCAGAAAAAGATGAAAGTTCTCCATAAAGATTCAAAGTCTCTGTTATGGCACCACATGTATATATGGAATTTTTCCCCCTTGTCACTGGAGAAAAGACTGAAAATGTGAAAAACTAACTTTCCTAACAGCGTGAAAAAATTTGCCAACCTGCAAAATTAGTTTGTTCTGAATGCCTCAATATATGTGCATGTGTATGAGTGTTTATCTCTCTCTCAACCCTCATGAAAATACCATAATGGGAGTAAGTGGTGTATGAAATTAGACTGCAGAACATTTGCTCCTAGCTGATACAAATTGCTAATATATTTGATTGGTCAAAGGGCATGGAAGTGTTGAATTTGGACAAAATGGAGGGGAAGAAAAACAGGTAAAAATGCACAAATATTTTTGGGTACATTGCACCTAACTTTAATGAGCTGCGGACATGATAGAAATAAATTTGATTTTAAAAAAAAATCAACATTTTTAATTGAATTGGAAACATACAATGTTTTCATTTCAAAGTGATTCATTTTTGTCTACCAGTATCAGGCACTAATTTTTCCCTTCATTGACCTAATGAAAGTGGAAGTTTGTGAAGCCAGTTCTTCGGTCATCTGGTGGGCAACTGTTTCAGGATCTCATTGTAGACAGTTAACAAGTGTAATAGCTGTGTCCTGTGTTACAGCTTTTTATGGCTAGTATCTGACTGTGGAAAAATCCTGTTGACCTTCTTGTGACAAATTGCACTTTCCCCCATCAGACGGGCAGTCAGGATATTTTATGGATGTTACATGTTCCATGTTTTCCAGAACATGTAAATTACCACAGATCAGCTTCTTGCTTTCAATCACCCCCAGTTTGAGCTCTTTAGCTGTTGCAGACTATCTAACCTGCTTCTTTCCTTCTGTTTGTCTTTCTAGGGGAGATGGAGGAGCTGGAAGCTCTCTGGCTCACTGGCATTTGTCACAACGAGAAGAATGAGGTTATGAGCAGCCAGCTGGATATAGATAACATGGCAGGTGTCTTCTACATGCTGGGAGCAGCCATGGCCCTCAGTCTCATCACCTTCATCTGTGAGCACCTCTTCTACTGGCAATTCCGCCACTGCTTCATGGGTGTCTGCTCTGGCAAGCCTGGTGTGGTCTTCTCCATCAGCAGGGTGAGTGTCATTAACTGCCAGGAAAGAACAGAGGCTTTATTCAGACAGTCCTAGATACTGGAGATGGGGAAATCCACCAAGACTGTTTAACACACAGGTGGCATAGGGTGACAGTCTGCAGGATAAAGGCTGTCATCTTTGCACCATTAATGTTGCAAAAATGTGTTTAGTTTTTCTGTGACATCTCTGGTCTCTGTTGGATTATAGTCATGGAAATGAAAATGCAGTGTAAGGAGAAGCTAATTGTTACTGTCTGCTCCTCTGAAGGGAGTTATGAGGAGGCCAAATTTGGGGACCCCCCCAAATTTGGGTTCAAGTAATGGTGGATAACAGGATTAAAAATTCAAGAGTTTTACATTGTCCTCTATATTGCAGCTTTTCAGCTGACCTTTTGTTAACTAGAAGTGTGCCATCATTAACAGTCAGAAGTCCTTAACCAAATGCCATGCCCTAAACTGTACAGACATCCTTCAAGAGAGGATGACCACATAAACTTAACAACTGCCTTATGCAAATCTGCCTTAGGGTATAACATTTACATTTAAAGCAGATTCCAACCATTTCTGAGTCATCTTTCTCCTATCGGTGTTGTTAGCAGTATCCTATTCGGGGCTTTTTTCCCTTCTTTCAAGACCGTGGTCCTTTCTCCTGATCCGTTCTGAAGTAAGGTCAAATCTTGGCATTTTTTAGGTCAGTGTCTGATGTAACAGAATTTACTTTGATTGTGCAAGGAATATATAATTGCTGCATAACATAATGAGGAGAAATGACAAAGCCTTTTGAATGCAGGGGCAGAGCCTCTCTTCTATATTGTTAGTTTCTAATGTGGTTTAGTCTGGAGATAAGATGGGGACTTGTGTTTGGTAATCCTTAGCTAAGTACAGATTCTTTCCTTCTGTGGTTACCTGTTAGACCTGGACCAGGTTGATGAAAAATCTGAAAAGTGTTAATCATCTGCTAGCTGCTGAGAAACCATGGTAACATGGTGTGATGGTGTCCATTTCACAATTGACATTAATCATCAGACACCATTTAGCAGACCAGGGAATAAAGGAGCCCCTTCTCTTCGTAGGGGTAGCCCTTGCAAACAGTCTGTGTCATGGCTGAAATGAGCTTGTGGAGCATATGGGGGAATTGGGAACTTCTGCTGTCTGATTTGAAGTTGAATAGAGGACTTTCAGGGATCTCGATTTGGAGCCTGTTATCACTGTTGAATTTAACAGAATGCAATTGTACCTCAGTTCATGAGATGCAAAAGGCCTAAATATGAATTTGACAGTCCCACTCTTTCTCTATTTCCTTTTCTAATCTGTACTGGTGATTAATGTAGCTAAGTTTATGACAAATGAAGCTGTTCCCTTTTTAAGATAGCTCCTGTCTCATTGATTCACTGATGTCCAGATGAATTTCAAGGGCCAAACCAGACTTTTTTCCTCTTATCCACACAGAATTGTTTGTCTTGATGCTTTTGTTCCCAAGGATATTATTGTCCCCATTTGCAATTCTGTGCTACACCTAGATTGTTACACCTAGATTTGACTAACTTTTAATGGATGCAGGCAGGTATTCCTGCATCCTACATATATGACATGAGGCAAAGCAGAGGAAGAGGAATGGAAGGAAAGGAAAAAATGTGAGAGGCAAGAAAGAGGGTCAGAATATCAAGAGCAGATCTGATTTCATTTGATTTGATTATGTTTCAATGATGGAAGGCTGACAGGCCTTACTGTCCTACAGGAACATGCTCTTGCTGCACAGAGTGCTTCCCAGTCCAGGTCCCCTTTTGTGTATTCTTTGCAGGACCACTCACCTTCCTGGTTTCTCTCATTTCAGGGTATCTACAGCTGCATCCACGGCGTGGCCATCGAAGAACGCCAGTCAGCAATGAACTCCCCCACAGCGACTATGAACAACACCCATTCCAACATCCTCCGCCTGCTTCGGACAGCCAAGAACATGGCCAACCTGTCAGGGGTCAATGGCTCACCACAGAGTGCCCTAGACTTTATCCGCCGCGAGTCATCGGTCTATGATATCTCTGAGCACCGCCGCAGCTTCACCCATTCAGACTGTAAATCCTACAACAACCCCCCCTGCGAGGAGAACCTCTTCAGTGACTATATTAGTGAGGTGGAAAGGACCTTTGGCAACCTCCAGCTGAAGGACAGCAATGTGTATCAGGATCACTACCACCACCACCACCGCCCCCATAGCATCGGCAGCACCAGCTCCATCGACGGGCTCTATGACTGTGACAACCCACCCTTCAATGCCCAGTCACGGTCCGTTGGGAAGAAGCCCTTGGACCTGGGGTTACCTCCTGCCAAGCACAGCCAGCTGGGTGACCTCTATGGCAAGTTCTCCTTCAAGAGTGATCGCTACGGGGGTAGTGGGACCCATGATGACCTGATTCGCTCAGATGTTTCAGACATTTCCACTCACACAGTCACCTACGGCAACATCGAGGGCAATGCGGCCAAGCGGCGGAAGCAGCAGTACAAGGACAGCCTGAAGAAGCGCCCAGCCTCTGCCAAGTCCCGGCGGGAGTTTGATGAGATAGAGCTGGCCTACCGCCGGCGCCCGCCCCGCTCACCTGACCACAAACGCTACTTCAGGGACAAGGAAGGGCTACGGGACTTCTACCTAGACCAGTTTCGGGCCAAGGAGAACTCGCCGCACTGGGAACATGTGGACCTGACGGATATCTACAAAGAGCGGGGAGATGAGTTTAAGCGGGACACAGGAGGAGGAGGAGGGGGTGGATCCTGCACCAACAGGGCCCACCACAAGCACGGCTCGGGCGAGTTCGGTGGAAGCAATGAGCACAAGCATGGTGTTGTGAGTGGGGTCCCAGCGCCATGGGAGAAGAACCTGACCAATCTAGACTGGGAGGACCGGACCGGGGCTAATTTCTGCCGCAGTTGCCCTTCTAAGCTGCACAACTACACGCCATCAGTGGTGGGTCAGAATTCCACCCGGCAGGCCTGCATCCGCTGTGAGGCTTGCAAGAAAGCGGGCAACCTGTATGACATCAGTGAGGACAACTCACTCCAAGAGCTGGACCAGCCACCTGCCCCTGTGCCCGTGGCCACTAGTGCCACCTCTTCCTCCAAATATCCTCAGAGCCCTTCCAATTCTGCTTCCAAGGTGCAGAAGAAGAACCGCAACAAGCTCCGCCGGCAGCATTCCTATGACACCTTTGTGGACCTGCAGAAGGATGACTCAGCCTTGGCCCCCCGCAGCGTCAGCCTCAAGGACAAGGGCCGGTTTTTGGAGGGGAGCCCCTATGCCCACATGTTTGAGATGCCAGCTAGTGAGACCACCTTTGCCAACAACAAGTCCTCAGTGCCCGCCACCAGCTACCACCACCACAACAACCCCGGCAGCAGTGGGGGCTACATGCTCAGCAAGTCGCTCTACCCCGACCGGGTCACCCAAAACCCTTTCATCCCCACTTTTGGGGATGACCAATGCTTGCTCCACGGCAGCAAATCTTATTTCTTCAGGCAGCCTGTGGTGGCAGGAGGGCCCAAAGCCAGGCCAGACTTCCGAGCCATTGTCACCACCAACAAGCCGGTGGTCTCAGCCCTTCATGGGGCTGTGCCAGCCCGTTTCCAGAAGGACATCTGTATAGGGAACCAGTCCAACCCCTGTGTGCCTAACAACAAAAACCCCAGGGCTTTCAATGGCTCCAGCAACGGGCATGTTTATGAGAAACTCTCCAGTATTGAGTCTGATGTTTGAGTGAGAGGGGAAGAGCGTGGGGAGGGACTGGGGGTGTATGTGGGGCATGGGAGGGTGGGGTGGGATCAATCCCATCAGCTACTCTTCTGAGTCGTCCTTAGTTTGTGGGATACTGGAGTTCTGAGTAGTGCAGCACTGGTGACAAGTGCCACCTCTTTGGTGTCCCCTCTTCGGTGTCCCCTCTTCCTCCTCCCCTTTCTCAACCCTCCCGTTTTATCTCTTTTTCCATGTTCTCACTCCTCCCATTCTCCTCCTCTCCATTCCTGGCCATTGCACTTTACAGTGATGTCGGAGTTGGATATCCTTGCTTGTGATTTCAGAAAGCAGAGAAAAAGGCAGGGAAGGGATGGGCTGAGGAGAAGCAGCAGTGACTGTAGTGTTTCACTTCTGCTGACTCCCAGCAGAGAAAGGCATGTGCACACACACGTGTGTGTGTCAGGAGGAGGCAGCAGAAACAGTGTAATGGACATGCAGGAAAATATACTTGCTCAGCCAACTCTTCCTAAAACTGCCTACAAAAGAGTAGTATTTAAGACATGGAGAAAGTGAAGGGGGAATAACACGACTAACTTGATGATGCACTTATATGTTAGCTATATTGAGGTTCTTGTTACATTATTTTGTGAAGACTATGGGGGTTTAGGGCTGAAATATATATATATATATATATATTTGCGTATATGCTGAGAAATTTTATGCTAGAATTTTGAATTGTCTGCTGGGGGGGTGTGGAGGGAGGGAGAGAAGGCTTGTCTGCAGGTCAGGCTAGTGGTTTCACTGTGGCTATTACAGCCATTGAATCTGTGGCAGACCAGTGGGAGAGATAGATAGGCAGTGGAGTCTGAGTTTGGGAAAGCTGATCAGCAGCCTTTCTGATTCCAGGGTTGGTTTTCCAAACTCTGACAAAAGATGCTGGTTTGCACTGAAATGAGAAGAATTTGGGGAAAGGGGAACAGGGTTAGTTCATTAGCTGTGAACTGCTCACTAGCTGTGACATACTTCAAGGGTGGGAGCAGTATATAGTATGGGTTTGCCTTTATGCGAGTATATACGATAGCTTATACTTGAAATGTCTATGAAGAAAGCAAAATAAACCCGCGATCCTATAAGGTGTCTGGAGTACAAACACAGTGGAACAGAGCTTAAGAATAGGGAAAGGTGGGGAGTTTTTTCACTGTCACTTCAGGGGACACCAAGCCCATTTTGGTCATGTTCTTTCAGTGAGGAGGGGAGGGGAAAAAGGGGATTTCATCCTTCTGCTCTCCCTACCCTTGGCCAACAGGTTGGAACAAAAAGAATAGGGTGCCCGCTGCCAATGCTGACATGGTGCTAGAGAGGAAAAAAGAAATTTCATAGAAGGGTGTGTGTGGTGGCAGTGGTGCTGGTGGACTGTTTCAATGCCTCCTTGCACATGTGGAAATGGGAGGAGGGTGTACGCACCCTTGGGAAATACATATGTATATTTACTATTGAATGTACAGAGGAAGTACACAGCTTGTCTTCCTGGGAAGGGGTGTGCTTGAATAAATGCCAGAAAGCACAGAAGCTTGTGCTGAAGGCTGAAGAGAGGACATGCAAAGCTGAGATGTGTGTGTACATGTGTGTGTGCCTCTGTGTGCAAGAGAAAGATACTAGCACAGGTGCAAAGCTGGAATAGCCTAGGGTTTCCCATCCCTGCAGTTGTAGTGACAGCTTTCCCGGTGCACTTAGTATCGATAAGAGTGTTTTTTCTTTCCATTGTATCATTTTAGATGCAACTTAAACTAAAGGAAAAGGAGCAATGGTAGGAGTGAGAAGTTGAACACCCCATTCATATGTCATCTTTCTCTTGAGGTGGGGGTGTGGACTGACCTCTCCCTCCTGAGAGATATGGCAAAATCTCTACTGCTTATTCTGGGTCTGTCCCAGTGTCTCAATCACCATGGCTCACCAGGGGAAGGAAGAGTTAAGAGAGTCCTGTGCTGAGAGCAGGGGGAGACTGCTGGGGATTGACACTGAAGGGAGATGGCAGCCCTGCCTTTATGAGCCACATTTCTTGGAGCTGAAAGCCACCTCTCTCACATTCCTCACCACACCATGGTTGATTTTATCTTATCTTTCTCTTTTTAAGCCAAGAGAAGGCCTTTTCTTTATTTACCTATTTAATTTATTTATTTTTTAAGCTGGGGAGGGTGGGATTTACTTGTAAAGTCAAAGAGTGTGAGGAGAGGGTGGGCAGGGTTGGTGAGGGGAATATTTTCTTATATTTCACTGAGGAAATTAAGGAGGGAAGAAGGGGAGAGTCTTTGTGATGCCACCCCTTAGTCTTTGAGGTAAGGGAACTTCTTACTCTTTCCCTCTTCTCTTATTACAAGAACAAATAGGGAAAGAAAAAAGAAAAAAAAATCAAACAAATTAACAGTGCGATCTGCAATCCAGAACACATGGCAGCTTGTCAGACACCTCTGACAGCGGCCACCAAGAAGGCGTTCCTTTCATTTGTAAATATTTCTTTTTTATTGCGTTTTTGTATAAATTGGTGTTTCTCTTCTCGTGAATATTCAGGTTGTGGGGTGGGAGGGAGGGGAAGTTTGTTTCTGTTCTGTTTGTTTTCTATGACTTTTCAGGCTGCGTTTTGGAAGCGGTTTACGCAGGTCGAGGCCGTATGAATGAGAAAAAAAAAAGAGAGAGAGAGAGAAAGAGAGAGAGAAACCCATGTGTGTTGTGTTCCCCTGAGGCCCCCTGTATTGCCCTGTCACCTTTATCTTCATGAATGGAAGACGCCGGAACGTCACTTCAAGCCTTGCCAGCAGGGTTTCATGTTTTGATGGGAACACCCCCAATTCCTTTTTGCATATAAACTCTCTGTACCAGCATCTCTCTGTGGAGCTTGGGCCTCAAGGCACTACACTGTCTTGATAGTAGTGGGGTGAACCATCAAGTTGGCCGCTCAGGTTGGACCATCACTTTGACATTAAGAGACTTCTCCAATGCTACTTTGGTTTAGAAATCCTGGACCTGGGAAAGCTTGTGCTAATTTCTGGTATTTCCTAAGGGCTTGGGGTGGGGGAGCTTGACAGCTGATGAGGGCAGCTAATCTCTTTGGTGGTTATCTCGGTACTTTTCCCTCCCTCCCCACCTGGAACAAGGAAACCTGAAGGGTGGCTCTGCAGGGAAATTAAGCTGAAAACAAACCAAAAAGAAGTTAATGGAACTTTTTTCAAATCTCTTCTTAAAGGTTCTGATTTTTGTGTTCCGGGTTGAAAGTTGGTTCGTATTTTCTCCGAACTGGTCTGTCCCTTGTTCCACTGATCGGCAAATGATAGTTTGCCAAAATCATTATCTAGTATTGATACTGTTGTAGCACTGTTAACACTCTGAGTGCTCTGCAAATATAACTGTGCCACAAACCACTCAAATGAATGCTCTAGGGCAACCAGAAAAGAAGAACTGGAAGTTCTGGACTGAACCACTGGTCTAACCACAGGAGTCTGGTATTTTGCCTTCTCCCACAGTAGATTAGGCCATGTGTCCATCAGGTTAATCCTTTCTCCTATAAGCGATCTTTTCTGGTTGTTTTGTTTATTTTAGTTCTGACAGGTCAACAAGTTTTGGGACAGAGATGAAGGGGAAGGGGGGGAGGGGGGAGGGTGTAATTCATAATCCAGAAAATAAATCAATGATGTTATTAAACTCTGATTATATATTTAGAATTTTAGATTTGGTGTATTTTCATTGTAAGTCTTCAAGTAAATCAAACAGGTAATATTAGCAGCAGGTGTTGTCTATACTAGGAAACGACCCATGTGCTGTGTATTACCAGGCCAGAAAAGAATGGAATTTCATACCAGAGCCTGACAAAACTCCATGTCCCCTCCCTTGCCATTTCTCTCTCTCTACTGTCAGAACACCAGTATTTTCTGGGGCAGTGGCTGGGAACATTTCCCCTCTCTGAAGGTTTCTGCACACAAGAATACTGAGCAAAAGCCGTTGTGTCCTATACTGTTTGGTGACCTCTATTGAATATTTGCAGCCAACCTCCCAGGGAAGATTAGGTGCCTTTGGCAATGTTTCTGACATTTACCTCCTCACTTCTAGCCCCAGGCATGGCTCTCTGAGAGATATTTTCATGAGCCATGTTCTTCTGAAGTGGTACTGGAATGTATGTACTCAGCTGAAGGAGGATGTGTATGAAGGAGACTGAAGAAGTATTCAGAAAATATCAAAATGTGCCATTCACAGTGGAAATCAACTGGCAGGTAGAACTTGCAGCCATGGATCTCCACATCATAAACATTGTTGGAGTATTCACACCAGCTTTTTACTGTAGTGCAACACAACACAGGCTGGTGTAGTGGTTCTTTGTCTCCCATCACGGCTCCCAGTGAGGGCAATATCAGAACTTTCAATGTCACATCCTAAGTAGGAAAGAAAAGCTGCAGTCAGGACTTGTTGTCAGTTGAGACAATGAAGCACACCGGCCCCACCTCCTCAATAACAAAAAAAATCCCATTCTCTCTGAAATCCAGCATGCACTGTCAGAACTCTCCAGGCGAGAAACCCAGTGGGTTCAAAATGTTTAGCAATATGCAAGTATGAACTTTGCCTGTAGGAAATTGGTACTTCAGTTTCCAGCATATGGGGGGAGGAAGGTTCCTTTGTGATATCCTGAAGGATTTGGTGGAGGAGTTAAGAATTGCCAGAATGAGCCTCTTCTTCAGCAATACCTGCTGATATTGAGCTCTTCACTTCAAAAAGACACTAGCATCCATCTTGAATAATGCCCCTTTGTACATTCAAATAGATTTTTCTCACAGCAAAATTGCCAGCAAAAGAGAGAGGGGGAGACAAAGAATGAATATGATGGTGGTGACAGGTCAGAGTGATCAGAGATACCTCAGGGATCTTTATAGGCAAGTCTTTGCTTTAGAGCTTTCTATCAAATATGGCATATCCTCCCACCTACATTGCTTATCAACAGATGGAAGGAAGCCTGGGAACACAGCCAGTGATCAGACTTAGGCCTTT